GGGGGAGCGGGCGGGCCCCGCGGGTCGTGGCAGCTCCGCGGGTGCCGGGACGGGATCGGATCCCTCCTCGGCGCCTTCCCGTGCTGCTCCCGGGGGGGCTCGCACTCCTTGCCTCCCCGCGGGACGCTGGCCGGAAAACCCGTGTGTGTTTGCAGGCAGCGGGCGGGCGCTCGGTCACCCCGCTCCGTAACGAGGCTCGGAGATAGGAGAAATAACCCCCGGGCTCCAGTTCAGGAGGGCAGCGCTGACCTGCCTGCCTTGGGGACTCAGCACGGAGATGAACGTCGCGTTTCTCCCGGGCTGGGAGGTCCCCAAGGCAGGTGGTTGCCTCGGGAGAAGGGATCTGTTCCCAGAGCTGTGGCCGGTGTCCCTTCGGGAGAAGGGATCTGTTCCCAGAGCTGTGGCCGGTGTCCCTTCGGGAGAAGGGATCTGTTCCCAGAGCTGCGGCCGGTCCCAGAGCTGTGGCAGGTGTCCCAGCCAGGCAGCCTGGAGCCCGCACACCGGGAGCGGGGCTGACGGGCTCTGGGGAGGGTTTGGTGTCTGCTGCCAGGGCTGTTTCGTCAGATAAATATTTTATCAAATAAAATAATAGAATCATTAAGGTTGGGAAAGGCCTCTAAGACCATCAGGTCCAACCGTCAAACCAAGACCACCATGCAAATAGTTAAATGGAGAAATAGAAGGAAAAAAACCAACAAGGCAGGAGGGGTAGGACGCTTCTTCCCAGCTGATGTCAGCCACAAGGTGGCTGCAGGCTGGTGGTTGCCTTTCCTAGTGAAGTGAACTTTGAAGTACGGGGCATTGCAGAGGTGAGCTTGTGCCTGGCTCACCCAGCACCAATTGTGTGTATCCCAGTAAATCCTCTGTGTTCAGTGGCTGTTCTGTAAAAGCAGCAGTACAGTGTGTTTCTATGCACGATTGACTGTCAGTTACTATTTATAATCCTTATTTGGGAAGAGGGTTTATATCTAATCTAGCAGCTGGGGAATTGAGCCACCATTATGAGTGAATATGTTAATGGCTGGGTTATTACGTGCAAAGAAATACAATACAGTGTACATTTATTTGCTCCAGGTTGTATTCCTAAACTAGGGGAGAAGCCTTGATACCCCCTACGAGATACACAAGGGGTGTATTTCAGACTGTTTAACACCTAACTGTCTTAGGTTTTTCCTACTGCCTGTTACTAGGTAACTATCTGCTGACTGCTGACTAGTCTGGATCCAGGCCCTGGGTGCCTGAGTCTGTTCATGTAGTAGGAAGCCCTGGGCACTTTGCTTAGGTTTCTGAATTCCAGTTGGAGGATGTTTCCTGAGAGAGTTTTTCGTGCATGTTTTTTTGTTGTTGCATCTCACCATTTGTCTTGAGAGGTTTGTACTGTAAGAGATTAATTCAAAAGACATATTTAAGTAGTGTGAAATTTGTGGATAATTTAGCTAAAACTTGGGTAACCTCTTGTGGTGGTGGAATTCACAGTGACAAAAAAAAATGTGTCTAGGTGGCATATCAAGCATTCATGGTTGGCATTTGCAGCAGTAGACCTACCATATCCTGGGTTAACTAGGGCAGATTGTAAATACTTGGAGATGTAAGTCTTATCCTCTCATTTAATAGTGGTTGATGTGCTTCGGCTGCCTTTTGTATTAGATAGTGGTTGAGCCACTTGCTTTGTGCCTTCCTCAGAAGACAATGAAAATTCAATGGTGGTATCTTGGGAACAGTAGAGAAAATGACTCTAGGTAAATGGGAGTGATCTGCAAAAAATTACATAAACCAAAATTTACCAAAGTAAACCTTCAAAAGCTGACTTTTTGTTGATGGCAAGAAATACCCTATTAATGTTCATTTATTTCTCCAGTAAAATACTAACAGGAGAGGGCAGCAAAAATTCTTATTCTTAGCCCAGAAAATCAACTAAAACTAGTGCAGTAAAGCTGAGTGATATATAAACATTTAAACATGACCTTGTGAACATGATGCTGTATCTTGAGAGATGCTTCTATGTATATTGAATAAGTGTACTGGAGAGCATTAAAGGCCAAGTTCAGATAATGAAATTTGTACTGTTCTTAACCCAGCTTCTGTGGGTAGATAAGTTACCCATTTTGGAACTTATTCTTTAGAACCAGAATTGCTTCCTCTAACTCAACTAGTCCACCTAGACTATACTGAGTGCTCACATAGTGCTTCACTCTGAAGTGTTGACTTTTCTAACTGATTAAGTTGGAGTCAATATTTTTGACCACGGCATTACCTACAAATAGTATTCGTGCTCAATTATCTGATACCTTGCATGTCTTCTGAGCTGTGTCTGCTTTAGTCACCAAATGTCAGGCAGTGAAACATAGAGCACAGAATAAATTGAACAAGATAGAAAAAGGAAAAATAGAGTAGACTGTAGAAGATAGTGAGGACTTCTGTTTCCTCAGAATGAAGTTCTGCCTTTTTTTTTTCTTTTTGACAATTGATGTGCAAAATTGCTTCCTTGGTGGTCCCCAGGGATCAACACTCAATCCGGTCTTTTTCAACATATTTGTCAACAACCTGGACGAGGTGACAGACTTTATCCTCAGCGATTTTGCTCATGATACCAAACTGGGAGGGGTGGCTGACACTCCAGAGGGCTGTGCTGCCATCCAGTGTGACCTGGACAGGCTGGAGAGCTGAGCACAGAAGAGCTTAATGAGTTTCAACCAGGGCAAGTGTAGGGTCCTGCACCTGGGGAGTAAGAATGCCAGGCACCAATATAGGTTAGGGGTGTACCTGCTGGAAAGCAGTTCTGAGGAGAAGGATCTGGGCAGGTAGTAAATTATCCATGAGCCAGCAATGTGCCCTTGTGGCCAAGAAAGCCAATGGAATCTTGGGGTGCATTAGAAAGAGT